TTGAGCCGAGGAAGGAAAACAATTGAATGTGCTTTTGGCAGGGCCTGCGAGAAGTTCGCTGTTTTGAATGGTCCTATCCGCATCCGGGATCCAAAGTACGTGGACTTTGTCATCAAAGCTGTCTTCGTTCTTCACAACTATGTACGAAAACGAGAGGGGCTTCAGTACATGCCAACTGATGAATTCACGGGAAGTGAAGTTGATAGCTGTGTGGTACAACCTCAACAACAAAACATGACAATACACATGAATTCTCCTGCAACGGCTCTGAGGAGTTATTTGGCAAACTATTTTCTTACCCCACTAGCATCTCTACCCTGGCAGTGGAAATTTTGTTTATGAACCTACAATATAACCTAACTAATTTTGAAATCGAAAACTCTCCACAGTTTAATTATAACCTCATAATCACTTAATTATGTATATACTTACATAATTAATTAATAATTAATTCATATTCGAACCGTTTTTTAATATTTCCACTCTGCGACATTAAAAAATAAAATAGTACATACCTGTCATATTCACTCTTTTTCCAACTTCATCCCATGTCTTTTCACTTTCATCTTTCTTAGAATATCCAGGAAGCGTAAAATTGTACAAAACAGGATGTTTTTCAACTTCTCCTACAAATAACGGATTCAGCTGTTGTTCGCACATCTTGAAGAAAGTCACCAAGAAACTGAGCTACTTCAGTCCCTAGTGACTCGGCCGCCGAGTTGCCTGGAACTTATTACTAACGGGTTGGTAACGCGTTAGTGATCAGTAGCGCTGTGTGTGGTGTTCCATTCAGTCACATTTGAAGTGACTGATTGCGGACTCGTTAGTAACTTGCGTCACTAATCAGGTTATTTTGAGTAGCTCCGTGTGTAGACGGCCTAACTTCCGAGAAACTATTTCACCTGAAGAACGTCTAGCCGTAACTCTAAGGTAAGGATTTCAGAAAACAAGCGTGTTTCATTGTTTGTATTTTAATTGTTATAATTTAGCATCCAGTTACATTGAGTTTCATTTACAATTGCTCGGGATCAAAATGACTGTTAATACACTGCAGCATTATTATCAAATGCTGAAACCTGATTATTGTGGGAACTGAAAGATGACTCAGATGATGAGGGTGAAGCATTTGGCGTGGTCATTGCACTACGACTTCGCTCCTGTTCCTGTAATATCACATTCATCAAACTCATGCGTACGTGCAACTTTCTTTCATTGGGTATAGCCTGTAGAGTTGGTAGCAGACTCGTTAGAAATTGGTAGTCGCTGTCTTGTTTCGTTTTTGAGCTTTGTTCAAAGTAACTCAACTTCTTAGTTTCAGTTTCCAATAACTTGTCATCGTAATCAACTCTCCTTTCCTTTCCCTTTTTTGTGGGCTCTTGAATGTTTTATTTATTTTTTGCTGTAGGTATATTTACTTGCTGATCTTCGTCATTTTATTGAGTGGGACCTGCAGCATTCTCCAAATCTAATTGATGAGGACTAGAGAGTGCCGCAGTAGAGCCACTTTGAAAGTCGTTATTTTCAGTGTCCATCTCATTACTGTCTTCTAGAACATCAGGAACACTACTTGTCACACTTCTAGGCTCAACAGTATCTGTCAAAAACCATAGTTGGTTGAAAAAAAGGCCACTTAGGTTCATGTGACGTGTCTCCGCCACTTCCAGATCGTTTGTCCCTACATTTCTTTAATTCCTTCCGGAACGTGTCCCGCAGTCCTCTCCATATCTTCTTAATGTCCTCAACTGAAATAGCACCGTTGTACATTTTAAAAAGTAATATTCGAACATCTCAATAAATGCATGATAGTATTGTTCAATAAGTTATAACATTGCAATAAGGGCTTTATTTTTTTCAGGTACTATATCGGCTTTCAAAACGTTGGGTAACTCTTTTCGTATGTCAGATGTAACCGTGGGAAGAATTAGTCATGAAACATGTAATGTGATATGGGAATTAATACGCAATGACCATATGCCATTCCCTTCTGAAGGACAAGTAGATCACATAGCAGCCGAATTTTATCGGAAATGGAGATTTCCAAATTGCGTCGGCAGCATAGACGGAAACCACATTAGAATCAAATGCCCAAAACAATCTGGTAATATGTATTGCAGCTATAAGAAATACTTCTCTATCGTATTGCAAGGAGTGGTAGCAACAGACTACAAGTTCATTTGTATCGATGATGGAGCCTATGGAAAGCAGAGTGATAGTGGCATCTTTGGATACTCCAACTTAGCCAAACAGCTTGAACGTGGGGCCCTTAAAGTGAATTGTGAGACAGAACTACCTGGTACTGAATTACGAGTACCCTATGTTCTAGTTGGGGATGAGGGGTACCCCTTGAAAACATTTTTGATGCGCCCTTACCCTCAAAGGAGGCTAGGACCTGAAGAAGAAATTTTTAATAAGCGTTTGGCACATGCTAGACAAGTGGTAGAGTGTGCTTTCGGCATAGTGAGTAATAAATGGCGAATACTTCGAAAGCATTGGAAGTTACTCCCGAGCGAGCAGAACAGATTGTAAAATGCATTTGCTTGTTACACAATATAATAATAAACAAAGAAGGAATGACAGATTTACGACCTACTACAGTTGAACCAAGTAACCCTCACATAAATAGATTTGCTACCAGAGGTGAAAATAGAAGTACTGCTAGGGCCTATGATGTAAGAGACACTTTCAAAATGTATTTTGTAAACAATCCTTGAAATGTACCTGGCTCGTTCATTTCCCTCGAAACCTCGCTCCATAACCTATTCTGCACATTTCGCATGTGATAATTAGCATCTCGTTGATCCCATAAATTCTTTCTTTCTTGCACTAAGAGTATCAACTTTTCAACATCCATTTTTAAATGAACGCAGCTCTTCGTCCGAAAAATCCAAACCAATCTGGATATTTCGCAGTTGGCAAGTATTTATTGCTGCATAACCGATATGAATGCCCCCTCTTCATTATCGGAACTTTCATCATCTGCCATGATGAAAACAGTTGCCTACTGTATGTTATGACTAACCTTTTACAGAAAAGGAAGGTAGAGTAGCTCCAAGCGATGCAGTTCTCGGTTCGGGGCTCGTCCATGGGGTTGCCTCTCGCCGTATCTCGCGGCACCAGCTGCAATGGGCGTGACTGCAACTTCCCTTGGGGATATCGGGTCGTAGTGCGTCTCCAAGGCCTTGTTGCTGCAAACTTAGTGACGTTCTCTCTGAATAGCGTTGCGCACCGCTTCCTCCTAGGCGTAGACTCTGGAGTAACTCCTTGTTTCTCGGACTCCCTAGGTCCAGATGGTGTGAACTTCCAAATTGTTGAGCTTTAAACCAAACGTATCTTGCGAATCGGATCCAGCTGTTGTCTTAAAAAATATCCCACTTCTGATAGCATGTAATATGTTCTTGCTGGGTAAGGTGGGTAAGGGACCCACTAATTGAAGACAATTTCTGTGCTCAACAATTATACTAAGTTTTATTAAAAGAAGTAAAACATGTAGATAATATATACAGTGTGTATACAGTACAGATTTTCAAAGAAGTCTCCTGCTGTTTT